AATTTTTCAAAAAGAATATATAGCTTTACAAATTTTTGTATTAATTATACTTTAGAATTATGAAAAAAAAAAGTTTACTTATTTATTACCATTTTATTTATGAAATATTTAAATATTTTCCATCATCACAATACAGAAGCACGCTGAAAATTTCTGAACTAATTTTTTTTTCTTCCTGTGCTCTTCGTAAAATTATATTACATTCTATTTGAAAATAAGCAGTGTTTTCTTAGAGATGATTTGATATCAATTTTTATGAGCATTGAATTATTCATTTCATATAATACTCAAATTTTTTTGGTTTATTCGGGTATTTAAAAAAAAATATATTATAGCAATAATTTGCTTTGCTTTGATCTATTAAAAATAAATAAAGTAAATAATCAAATATTTTTAAGTTCTCTTTCGAAAGAAATAAACAAAATATTTTTAAGTTCTCTTTCGAAAGAAACATTTCGTCTGCTTTCTGTTTTATAAGCGGATTGACCATCAAGTTATTCTTTGTTTATCTTTTTTAACAAAATTGAAAAAAAAAAATATTTGCTTCATCATCATATATCTTAAATTTAAATTATATATTATAATTTTATCAAAATATTTCGAAAAAAGACATCGTCATTTGATAATTTTACATGATCATAAACATGTTACATTTTAATAACTTCTCTGTACATTAATTTATTATTTCAACTTTTTTTGGAAAATATTATTGATATTAATAATAATTTCAACAGAGCAAGTTATTTTTTTTTATTTTTTTAACTAATAACTTAAAGCATGCATTAACTTATAAATCTATGATGGCAAATAATGATGATCTCCAAAATTATCTCTTCGAAAAATAAAGGGGGATTCTTTTCCTAGCACTAAATACAATTAAATTGCATTTTAAAAATTCCACAACCGCATAATTCAATGGCACCTTTCATAAATTTTATTCTTTCAAATTAATAACAATTTCTGCATTACGATCCAAAACATTTCTTTAAGACCATTATTTTAACAACTTAACAAAACCATTATATTAACTTCCATAATTTTTTTGAAGAAAAAAAAAAATTTTCTGTGAAAAGAATTTGTGTGTGTTCATATTTACAAACTACTGTTCATTGTAATTATTTTTTTCAATCAAATTTAAATATAAAAATTAAAATCATTGCCTTTGACCTTCATAATGTAATATATAATATTACCGTTAATTATGGATTGATAAAAACATCAGTTATTTGTTTCTGGGATTATGATTTTTTATCTCTTCATAGACTTAATTTGTCACAATTATAAGTAAAATAAAAGAATGTATAAAAAGCACAAATAAATAAAACATTTCCGCAGTTAATTTACATAAAATAATTTAGTTGCGTAAATATTTTTTTAATCTTGTAACATGTAGATACACACTGGTATCCAAAAGTCAAGCATAAATCGTAAAATGCGAAAAACATGGAGTAAATATTCGTAAAATTATTTCAAATTACTTGGGCATATAAATTGGGTGAAGAAGAAACATTGGGTTTATGCAAAACTTTTCAGTCGACTACGTCCTGCGCGAAACATCTGCGCATGTCGGAACGCAGAGAAACCGATTCAGACAAGTTTCGTGCAACTGCTGAGCGAAGGAATGCTGTTAACCATCAAACAAGGTGAATGATGGCACAAAGACGCCAATTGGACATGTTTGCGAAAGGAAGAATCGATGGAATACGGAATCCGGACGATCACAAACCGAAGTGTCTCGAATTTTGAATGTGGACCAGTCTGTGACCTCAAGACTGTGGCAGAGGTTTCAAAGAACGGGAGATGTTACCCGACAACCAGTATGAGGTCGACCAAGAGTCACAATCCCTAGCCAAGACCGATATCTCGTAATAAGTGCGCGACATCAGAGGGGGCAGTACTGCCAGAGCACTGGGTTCGGCGCTCACAGTCACCACGGGAATATGAATTTCGAGACAAACTGTTTACAGGAGACTCAATCATGCTGGCCTGTATTCCAGAAGACCAGCAGTTTGCATTCCCCTCACGTCTGCGCATAAACGCGCTCGTTTGAACTGGAGTTTGAAACATCAACATTGGAGTGTGGGAGAGTGGGCCAATGTGATGTTCAGTGACGAGTCCCGGTTTAGTCTGAGTAGTGATTCTCGTCGGGTAACGATATGGAGAGAATGTGGAACACGTTTTGAACCAAGAAACGTAACGGAAAGACATCATTTTCCATCAAGGGGTGTAATGGTATGGGCAGGCATCGTGATGGACGGACGCACAGACTTCCATTTCTTTGACACGGGGTCTGTGACTGGTCAAAGATACAGAGACGAAGTTCTTGTGCCTTATGTTCACTTGTTTCGTGGTGCTGTCGCTCCTGACTTCATATTCAGGAATGATAATGCGCCATGACTGGTTGATGACTTCCTTGAAACGTAAAAACATCCAGCGCATGTCTTGGCCTGCGAACTCCCTGATTTAAATCCTATCGAGCGTGTATGGGATATGCTCGGGAGACAAATTGCAGCCCTTTCGCACCCACCAAGCTCCGTTACAGAATTGAAAAGAGCTCTGCAAGAAGCTTGGAACCGTTTTAGCCCACAACTCATTCATCATCTCATAGCAAGTATGGTAAATCGCTGTGCAGCGTGCCTGGCTGTCAGAGGTGACCACACGCCTTAGTAAACTGCAGCATCAGTACTTTATTTAATGTTTTCTTTCATTTTTCTTTAAAGTGTGAACCCCTTGTTATGCTCAGTTTTCTTTCAAACTGCTACTTTGGATAATAAAATTAATTATTATCGTTCTTTTGATTTGCTTTCTTATTTTATAACCAATATACACTCGCATATCCCGTTTTCCGCCATTCTGATTTACAGTTCCTTCTTTATTCACATAATTATCAATTATGCTTAACTTTTGGACGCCAGTGTATATTTTATTACATTTGCTGCTGCGAATAATGTATACATGTTTAAGCAATTTATTACACTGGTTAAGAGTTTTAAATAAAAAAATAAACTTACTTACTTTATCGAAATATAAAACAAAGATAAAAATCAGTATTTAGCAATGTGTTCGTATTACTTTTGCTAAAAAATGCGTATTTAAAAAGAAAAGTGTGCTACTTTATTTTAGATTTTCAAATTGCGTTGTAAAATTTAACATTTTAAAGTAAAATAATTATCTGCACTATTAAAATCCGTAAATGCAAATGATCTTTAAGACGCGTTACATACCATTCGGGAACGAATAATGACAGCCCATTACACCCATGAAAATTGATAGCCCATTAAGATTCTTCCGTACTCTTCAATCTGAAAAAAAACTATACAAAAAGAAGGCACATTAACGATTGCAATCTTGTTTTCCTAATAGCTCGCAGCGAAAATTGGAAAATGGGAAATGAAGAGCCGAGGAGGAAATGGCAAATTTTTTAAAACTGTCCCGTTAGATCCGTTTATGGACCGAGATATTTAATTTTTTTTATCAGTTTTAACAGCAAGCATTCAGTTTGTAAACAATGTGTGTCTGTATTTTCTCTGTTTGAAAGACGTTATTTGGCGAGAGTTCGTTCTAGTGTTTTATGGAGATTTGAAAAGATATACTTTCTGTAGGAATTTGTTCTGTATTTCTTACTTGTTGAAGATATACTTTCTTTTGCGTACCAGATTTATACTTTCTGTCTTTTTAGCTTAATTATTTCTTTTTCAACTTAACTTTTCTAAAATCCTATAAAGTCAATCTAATAAATTGCTTATGCGTTAAAAATAATGCCATTTATTAATTTAATCAATAAAAGAACATTAATGTTTTAATTCGAAAGGTTTGTTGACGTGCAGTACCATAGGAATATTTTGTTGGGTTTTTTTTAACCCTAAATTTTTATCCCTAACTTTTTTTAAGTTTACTTCTATATTTTCTGAAACGAAAATTATTATAATTTGATTTCATAAAATATTAATAAATAAAACTTTAATAAAGCCATTGGAATAATACTTTTATCTTTAAATCAGCCCTGTGTCGTTCTTTGATTTAATATAAAATTGGTTGCACTTATATCAGAAAATGATTAAATGTTTTTTAAATTATATTTTTATAAATATTAAAATAATTTTAACTATTCAGCTGTTTTGAACAGCTATAAATAGGATATTTTAATTTTGTGATATGCGTAAAATTGACATTTTCAATATATTTTCGTGCTTTTTCCCAATACTATGCGGGTTATACTAATTTAGATATTTGATCTTGAATCTACAATAAGTATTATAAGACGTTTTATTTGTTGAATTGTGTTGAAACGGAACAAAGGATTTCTAAAGAACGAATGATTTCAAAAACAAAGGATTTATTTCAGGTTATAATTCCAGAAAATTTAAAACCTTTCAACATACAATAAATAAATTTTACACACAGGCATCTACGCATTTCTTTTTCAAGCACTGCACATCAGAGGTCATTATCCTACTTACGTGTAAACAAGAATACACGAATAATAATCGGAGGACATTGCTTTCTAAGAAATCTTTTAGAGCGAACTGATTCTCATTTGCATGGCTATGACAGAATACTTGTAAAACTCCCACATAGTAAATTGACTATCGATGTGAGAGACATATACACGGGGTAATAATCGTCATCAAATCTCCTTATTTCTAAAAAGCCCTTATTGCAACAGGATATTTGGGATTACTGACATGAACTGAGCGCTTTTTCTAAAAATACTTTGTTCAATTTTATTATTTTGTGTGGTTGACTTTAGTATAATTTTGTCCTATATAAGTGAGCGCATGTGTGGGGTGCGCGCTTATGCTCATTTATGTGTTTAAATTTCGCATGCACATTTATAAAATAGTTGATTTACAATTTGGCTGAGCGTGCAGCTAGTATGCAGGATAATCAGGATTCGATCTATTTATGGCGTGTGCTGGAAAACACAATGGTAGGTATGATAACTTACGTAAGCGTTTCTCTTTAATATTCATTTATTAACATTAGAATGTAAAAAATCAACGACCATACCATGCTGAATATACCAGTTCTCGTTAGATCACCTAAGTCAAGCATCATTGGGCGCGGTCAGTACTTGGGTGGGTGATGGGATGACCGCGTGCCGTTGGCATTCACAAATTTGGGACCTGAATGGCCGAGTGTGTCTAGCGCTCGGTGCCACAGGTTTCGGGTTCGAATCCCGGCGGTGCCATCGATGTTTGTAGGGATTCGGAATCCACTTTAAGCCGTAGGTCCCGGTCTCCCATGACTGTAAGAGCGTCACGGAGCCAAAGTCAAACTTCTTCCGACTGGTGCTCCATTACAACAGAAGCTGCTTCCTTCCCCTTCAATCATGAATACGTATGGGCTCGTGGACTTGGCCAGACAAGTGGATAAGAAACAACAACAACAACAGAATGTAAAAAGGGATAATTAAATTACGAACTCATTTTTAAAATTTTTAATGAAAACAGAACTTTAGAACCTTAAAGGACAAAAAAGACCGTCTAAATTATAAGTTTTCTTATGAAGTGCCAATAAACATTTTTTTTTATTATTATTTTATATGTATGGTTTATGTAATTAATATGTATATGTATATTTAATTTCAATCGAAAGTGAAACCACTTTTATAAAGAATAACGATTTTTAATGTAATATGATTTAGATTTAAATTTTTATTGATATTATAAAATATTAGAATATAAATCATCAAAATATCATCTGCATTTTGAAGAAATTTCAAAAGAAGTTGCTTTCCAAAATTTAATTCTTCAAATACACATTGCTCTTTAATACTGAATTATTCTGTCTTTAATTTAATTTTCTTTTATTTTGTTCTTTATCTTTATTATCTGTTTAAATTATATTGTTTTAAATTATCCTGTTCTTTTCTAAATTATCTTGTTCTTGTTTCTTATCTTTATTATCTGCTCTTTAATACTAATTGGCTTTCATTTAGGAAACTATTAACAATTCAGTTTAATATGTGGTAATAAAAATAATTGAAACATTAAAAGATAAATGAAAACAGTAAGTAAAATCATTATATACATTATTAAAACATGAAATGAAGTGATTATTATTTAAAAATGAAAGTTTTATATGTATATATACTCGTATATGTAAAATAGTGTAACATGACATCTCTAGAAGCTCTAAATAAATATTGCGATTAGTAAAATTAATTAAAGATATATTCTATGTTAATATTTTACAAAATTTTAAGACTACATTTTTTAACTTTTCAGAAAACATTGGCAGTATGCGTCCTCATCACTGCCCATTTATATTAAACTCATGTCTATGAATTAAGGATAATTCAGAATCACACAGAAATTGAACTCTAAAATAAAAATTTCACCTGCAGAATTATCACACACATCTTGAAGAAAAATATGCGAATTACAGGAAACCACCAGATGGCGCGGATAGTACGTCACAATGACGAGTGTAAGAGAGGGGTATATAAGGAATGGTGGCAAAGAAGTAAAATTGTTCACAGGCGCTTTAAAAACCTTTCAGTGCAATAACCGCATAGTTATGGCACAAAGGAAGCATTTGGAGGATTTTTACGTGGTAGAATTATCGGACGACTGGAATGTGGACGTACCCAGCTGGAAGTATCCGAGGAACTTGGAATCACCCAGAGTGTCATCTCCAGCCTTTGGCAAAGATTCCAAGATGATGGTAATGTGATTAGATGTTACAGCACAGGTCGCCCCCGAGTTACAACGCCGAATGAGGACCGGTATTTAGCAGTTACTGCCAAAAGAAACAGACGGAGCACAGCACCAGACCTGTCTCGTCAGCTCTCTTCAGCTACTGGTACGACAGTTTCAAGGCAGACCGTGTACAGACGCTTAGGGCACATTAATCTATATACTCGTAGGCCTGTCAGATGTGTTCCACTTACCTCAACTCACTGTCGCCTGCGATTAACCTGGAGTAGAGAGCATGCATTGTGGACACCGCAACAGTGGTCTTATGTGATATTTTCCGACGAGTCCAGGTTTAGTTTGCAGTCTGATTCTCGCCGGACTTTCATATGGTGAGCGCCAGGTACCCGTTACCACCAAGAGAACACCATTGAACGACACCGTTACGGTGGTGCAGGATGGCTCGTTTGGGGAGGAATTATTCTTGGTTCCAGAACTGACCTGCATGTTCAGAGTGTAACAATGACAGGCCACATCTATCGGGATGTCATTCTGGAACAACATGTACGTTTGTTTCGGGGCGCCATGGGTGCTGAATTTCTGTTTATGGATGACAACGCCCGTCCTCCGCGTGCAAACATTGTAGACGAATGCCTTCAATTGGAGGATATCACCCGTATGGATTGGCCAGCATACTCACCGGACTTGAATCAATAGAGCATGTGTGGGATATGCTTGGCCGATGAATTGCAGCCCCTTCAACCCCTCCCACCTGTCAACCGGAACTTCGGAGGGCATTGCTTGATGAGGGGTGTAATATTCCCCAAGATCAGATTGATAATTTGATACTCAGTATGCCTAGGCGTTGTAAGGCCTGTATTACATCGTCCGGGAGACCTACTCCATATTAACCATCATACTAACCATGTTATACTGTTTTTTGTAAATAGGTTCTTTTTGAAATTTGCTCCACGGAGTAACAATCGCAATTTTTATTAATTATGTCAAACATATAGCATTCTTTTTTGCTCTTTACCTTTTTTTAATAAATAGACTTTACAAATAAGTCAAATTTGTTTTGCTTCTGTCTTTTCTTTGCCTGAACTTCATTATTCTTAATTTATGGACATGAGTGTAAATGCATATATACAAATTTTTATTAAAAAATATTAATATATATGACTTCTATTTTATTGCTTCAGATCCTTTATCGCAAAATATCGATCATAAGAAATACATATGAGCTATAACAATAAGTTATTTTAGTAGATAAGTTTATCCCTTTATTAATATTAATTATTAGTTTAAGCTTCACTGTAAACTACTATAAATGTATGTCTTTCATTGGAATATACAAATTTTATCTCGCTCTAGATAATGATGCATTTAATTCACCATGTAAAAAACATAACGTTCGAAGATCTATTCCACTAATGTTCATTAGTTGAGCTTTGTTTATTGTCACTGTTAAAAGAAGACCAACAGGATATTGAGTCTGTTTGAATTTAAATGGGAAATTATTTGGAAAAAAGACAATTAATTAAGTTAAATTCCAGGAATAAAGGATCGTAGATGCGAATTCGTTTCAATGCAAAATTTATTTTCAGAATTCACTGTTATTCCACTAAAGAAACAAGATTCAATTATCAATGATTTCCGCTTGGTACCAAGTCTTTTAACTTTTATTTTCACGATGTAACCGTGACAGATAGGTAAAAAAATCCCGCTTAAATAGGTCATTAAATAGTCCTCTTATTAAGATTTAGGTTTTCTAAGAAGGTATTTATTCGCGATTAATTAGCAAATAGCCATTTAGCTAGAATTAAAAAAAAAGTATACATTAGATCGATCTTTACGTCGAAATTGGCAGTGATGAAATGCTGTTAACGGCCTAAATAAAAAAATTAGCCTTTTTTTTAATTTCATTATCTTGAAAAAGAAAGTAAGTATTGATCTTAGATAATTAGTCTTATTATTACAAACAAATCATCAACAACGTTGTGAACGAATAGCCCTTATTAAAAGCTGTGTGTTTTTTTTAAAAAAAATATACGATTGAAAAGGGTGAAAGAAATATTATTTCATTGAATATTAATTTATTTTATTTATTGTAGAACTTATCACTTTCCAAAACACGAAGAACCAAGCCCTTTCCAGACTTTAAGTACTATTGACAAAATAATGATAATGTCAGAAGATTTTCTCTTAATTTTAAATCTTAGTTATACATTTAAAAATAAAATGTATCCATTTCTTCCAAAAATAATAGATTAAAATCTGCTTCTTTAAAAATTGTATATGGATGAAATTTAAAAACTGCATCATGATCTCCGTCCTTTCCGATTTAGAATTGTTTCAAGAAATATAAAATTGCAACATATATAAAAGCCCATGGAAGACTTGTTCTGTGAACAGATTCAATGATGGCTTGCAGAACTTTTGAATACTTGATTATTACTATTTTATATAAAATAAATGGATCTGCACCAACGACCCTATTTTATTCTTAAAATAATACATTTTATTAAAAAAATATAAAAATATTTTCCAAAAGTAAACAACTAAATATATTTTTTCTAGTACTTCAGTCTCATTTTTTTATGCAAATTTTTATCTGAATTTCTTTAAAACCTACACTGGGAAAAAAATCCAATTTAGAAACTGAGAAGCAAATTATTCAACTTATTTTCAAAAACTTTCTTTAAAACATTCAACACCCCACAAAAACGAATGAATTGAAAGAGGAAATCATAAAAAAAGGGGAATTCACATGTAATCGAGAGACGACATCAAAATAGAAAGGAAACAATCCACTTAAGATAATAAGTTCCATAATTTGGTGCATTTAACTATTAATTGAATGTACCCTTTTCTTATAAAGAACTCTTACGGAAAAAAAAATATTTTTATAAAACAAAGTGTGCCTGAAGGATTTTGGTCTGAGAACTTAAGGAATTACGAATTGTTTATTTAATTAAATCAATGAGTGAAAAGTGATATTTGATTTTTTAATAATTTAAAAATGTGTAAATGTAATTAGAAAGACAATTAATTTGTGTTTTTTGTTGCCTATTCTTTTAATAGCATTCTTATATTTACGCAGTATGCATAAATACTGCTATTATCTCATCAAAATTAGTTTAATATAAAGAAAGAAAGGTTAGTTAGAAGGATTAATCTATTTGTAATTTGCTTAATTTAGATCTTTATTTAATTTTTGCAAGTAGATTTGAATTTTTAATGTATTTGTAGCGATATTATTTTTTCAAAATGTCTGATAAATTAATGAAATATTAATTTTCAGATTAGTATTTTCTACGATGTTTTCTAAATTTAGAGCCGTTTAGATCTTCACGTGAAATACAATATACAAAATTAATATTATATGAGAGAAAGTTATTTTTTTCATTTGGCAAGTACAATGTTATTTGTTATATGAGAAATATAAATACATATTTTACTTGAAAT